GTCAAGTGCCTGTGATTGAAAGCCGTCTGTTTTCTTATTCTCCTTAACGTTGCAATTAAACGGAGAATCATTTATGCATATGGAGATGATCACGAACCTCGAGATCGCGTTTACTGGTGATGAAAAATGTGAGGAAGAGATCGAAGAATGAATTTGAATGAGTCAGCAGTGTTGTTCATGAATTTTCTGAACCGTAGTGAGTAAAGCAGAGAAGCTATACTCTCTATGGTCAGGCCGATCTGTATCCCGATGCTCACTTACGGTCAGAAGTTTTAAGCCATGTCTGTTATACTTCGATCTGTGGTAAAAACGCATGAATTGGTATTTCTGTAACGAATCGATTAGCTTATGCATCTATCTGGAGTACAGGTATGCGAAACAGCCTTTGCGTACAGTCTTTGTTTCTCTAGATTGAGAAGTCACAGCTGCAATGGTTTTACACGGTCTGCAAATTTTTTTTTCGAAAGGAAGGTAGAGCAATTACTCCTTGTCCCCCTATGAAAGGCGCAAGGCACCGACGATGGTTATGAATAGTTTGGGGCAAGTGCCTTTCCAGATTTTGCTTCAAACTTGGGTTATCTTCTGCCGAAGCCTCAAATGTTGGCATTAGGATGAGGAACGTACGAGAATCTATCTTAAGGTTTGCCTCCGCGATCGCATAGAACAAGGGTAAGGAAAGGATCAGCGATGATCGAAACTGACTGACTGACCTTTGCAGAGTTAGCTAAAGGCCTTCTGGACTACCGTAGTAGCTAATACGGTGACAAGCCTCATTGAACTTCATCGTGTCAGTTACTCTGTTTGATCATTGTACAGCAGTGAAGAGAAGATAATTTCTAGATGGCATGCTGCACCAACAGTTTGCGAAATTATGTTGAGGCACAAGGAGGTGTGCCAGTCTCTCTGACTAGGTAATATCTTTAGTCGTCACCTTCGGTCATGCAACATTGTTCAGCCGTTTGTCATCTCGACACCAAAGTATTTATATCCGTATTGATGCTTGCTTAAAGAACATGTTTTAAACATCCTCGATTGATCGATCCGTTAACTTCTGTGACGCGTTTCGGATGTGACAAGTTGTGGTCTTTCGTTGACACGCCAACTGGATAACGTGACATGGTTTTTTGTATGCCTCGCAGCATAACCTTCGAAGGTGGATGAATAATGCAGACACGCTGTTAGAGATACGCTTGTTTTCTAGGCAGAAGGATATTGTCCCCCCTCTCTTTGCGATAGACGGGGCAAGTATCGGTTACCTTAACTGATTGATTGGACTGATAGAAACCGCTGCTTGAATGGACACTTGCTGCAAAACGTTTTACGGATTTTCTCGTTTGGAAACGTAACCGGATCACAACAAACGTCTGCCAAACGACCACAGTATTACCAGGGTGAATGAAGTGAAGGCAGGCAAAACCGCAGCCACTAGTATCGAAAAACTGAAAACGCACGAGATCAGAGACGGCCTGTAATTGCAAACGGCTTAAAACGATGCATACAGCAATCCTTAATGTTGGCGTCTTATAAGTCACTTAAATTTAGCTACCTCATTACTCCGCACTCACGGGTCTTTTGCTTAGTCATTATCCATAGAGCAATGACCACCTTTACGTGCGTGTTTTCACATTAGTAGGCTATGGAAGCTATGTCGATTCTGAGTCCATTCCTTGCTCTTCTTGTACATCGATCGATCGATCGATCGATAGATCATTTTAAATTTTAAATCATTTTCTGCTGCATGGTTTCTTGACTAATGGCTGAGAGTTGAGACTTACTTGCCAAAACGCAGCTGAAACAGCTGTATGAATAGTGCCTGAATTTTGTATTTCACTGACTCAGCAGTTATCATGTCACACATACACATTAGTGCAATGGGAAACTAATACGATATTACTTAGAGTACTGTCTGGCAGACCTTTCCAAGACCAGATTTAAAATCTTATCGCATCACTCGTTGCTCATAGTCCCCTAGATCGCAGTAATGTAGGCGATGGCTGCATGGTATATATCTGCAATGTCAGATGCATTTTGCATGATGTAATTCGTTAGAGCAACCTCATGCTAATAGAGAACGATGTTTCAGGACGTGGTACTGTATGAAAGTATTATATGTTACCGCATCATCATATAAATCATATTGTTTTCGTTGCTTTAATTTATTGGTTATGGAAAAAACTGCTTTGCTGTCTCATTTACATGCAGCGCTGCAGAATATTCACTAGGCGAAACGAGCTAATCGCCAGATATTCAACTGCTCCGTTAAGTTAAAACATGAAGGTAGTATATTGCTTTATGACGTATGCCCCGTTAAATAGTCTATAAATGACAGTATGAAGAAAACAAACGTATACCACTATTGATAAAACTAGTAACGAAATTATCCGCTGAGTTACTGCACAATAATCATATAACGCACGAGTAAATGAGATTTTCTTTAGCGGTTCTTTGATTAATAGTTAAGAATGGAAATCCGCTGAATGACTGTTCAGCTTCTACCTGGCACCTTCATTAATTAAGTTTTTTAGCTGATGGCAAGAGTAAAGAGTGACAAAACCTTAAGTCCTAGCATTTCTACTAAGAGTCAAACTTCATGTGGTAGTATGTGATGAGTACCAGCTGCTGAAACATCGATCGTGATGACCGTCAGGTCGCTCTAAAGGACAAAATGATGCAAGATGCTTCTGACACTGCGCTGTTTAAATACTGTGGAGCCATGGCCTGCTTATATGTCCCTTTCTCCTTCTCCCAGGCAAGTTGGGGAAAGGAGGCACTGCAATACGCCGTAAATTCTGGTCAAGGATTAGTCTTCTCGTTATTTAACCGTCAAAGTTGATACATTAATTAATGATCCCGGTTGTTGTTACAACTAAAGCGCTTCAGGATACGACGTTCTCGACACTGCCAACAGTAAGATCCGATCTGGGAAGAAAGAAACAAAGGTTAGTAATCTTTGGAATGTCGATTTTCGTTACACTGTCATAGTGGATCACGTATCTCAGTTTCCATGACAAACATCCTTCCTCGTTTAAAATGCAAAATGGAGTTTAACTCTGTGACAAGCATAGTATGTCTCCTGTTTCCGCCCCACAGTATGGTACTCAGAAGGAAGAAACGCAAATGAACCGACCGGGGCTCGAATGTGGCACCTTTCAGGGTATGCGGAGACTTTTTTAAGCACTTAATGCATCTAGGTAACTCAGTTCAAGTAGCTTTAATCTTTTCATCTACTTCTGTCCTCTCGCATTTACTATCGACATGCTATTTTCAGTGAATAAATCTTAAATGGAAAACTGTGTCTTGTCAGTCTGTAGCAGTTCTGCTGAACAAATTTATGTCTGTGAAAAGAAACGAAGGAAAATTCGTCACCTCTGAAACATCGATTTCCCTCACACTTGCATAGCGGGCACAATTTGTGGAGTATAGGGTGCGTTGCTAATATCTGTTGCTGTGTCGTTAGTCAAGAGTTGCTAGCTATTTATTATTTAAGGCTATATTTACCTCCGGATTATCATTGTGGCGTGTAGTAGTGCAGAATATCCTTTGCTTAATAGTACTGTTAGGTAATACTTGTCCATGGACTTAACTCAGAAAGATGAAACGATCCTCGTTTACTTCTGTGAGTACTCCTTGGCTTCCGTTATAATTACGAGAATTTTTTGCCCCTGGACGTTCCTCCTCCCATGGATATTGATTATGAGGTACATTCATAGATCGTTTTCGACTTGAACCTGTGTCAGATCGTAGATTGAATCACTGCTACTCTGTTAATACGTTGTAGAAGTACTTTCGATTTTGTTATTTGAGGTGCACGAGAAAAGTGTGTGTAGCCTTCTGAGCTACTTGTTAAGGAGAGGATTGGTTTTTTCATCTTTTAATGGTATGTTGTGGTTGAGGCTATAAAAAGTTATACGTTTTTTCCCCTTCTTTTCTGTGTCATTTCAGTAGCGTCGTTTGCAAGGTTTTTCAGTGGACGGAAAAAAGGATTTACCGGTACTTTGTTTTGTGATCCTGGTCAGAAATTTGTCAGTGCTAATTTGTTTTGACTTTGACAAAAATTATTTGTTAGAATAACTCGATTCATTCTCTTGAAAAATTACTGATTTGAGTTCGGTGAGGAAATCAATCGATCCTCTTAAAGCGATTTAAACTTCGTTTCATTTAAGGTACTGAAACACATTTGCGTCATGTTTGACAGATTTTGTGAAGCAGCGATTCTCGTTTACTCTGTAACAGGCACTGTTCTGTTGAGTAGCGCTTTCGCGCCAGTACATTACCCGGTTACGCGACGTCTGTGTGGTGAATGGCGTACATTCACAGGTCCGAACGTATAACACCAAGAAAGCTAACCTCCGGCCGATCAACATCCGTAGCGAGAAGATCCGCATTGTCTGCTTAAATGTGCAAACGTTAAACGGATATGGCAAGTGAGGTGACGTCATCTGTATCGCTGAGCGGTACCACCTCGACCTCCTTACGATCTCAGAAACTCACATTCATGACCAAGGAGATGGTTCGCCTGGGTAACGGACAGCAGTTTCTCTGGTTTGGGAACCAGGATTCCAGGCGCGAGTCAGTAGCAGCAGTGTTGCTATCGCCACGAGAACTGAATGCCTTCGTCTGTGTCGAGTGCATGATCAACAGGTTGGTCGTTTGCTCCTTGCAACAAAGTATTTGAAGGTCAACACTGTGTTTGTATATGCCCCCACAAATGTTGCGGACGGTCAAAGGAACGATGATTTCTACGACCAGTTCTAGGTTCCCTTCCACCCGGTGAGATGAACGTGCAGGTCGGCGCAGGCAATTCCAACTAGCACCATGTACCGTGGGCCAGTATGGCTCCGTGACGCTGAATGACAACGGTCGACGGTGGTTAGACATTTGTTCTAAGTGACCGCTTCAGGAGCCGGCTAGATCACGTATTGGTCAGCAGGAAGCAATGAAGCACCCTTCACCACACCTGAACATGACGCCGAGCTGACATTGGCTCAGACCACTACGTGATGGTGGCAGTGCTCCGTCTCCAGTTGGGAACCTACAGGAGAACAGCACGAAAAGGGACGAACGCCAGATTCGACTTCAACAGGTTAGAAGATCCAGAAACTTGCGCGGCGTTCAAAGTCGAGATCAGCTGCAGATTCGTCCCTATCAGGGATGTGACCTGCCGAAACTCCGAGTTGCTGTACCAACTGCCCAAACAAGGTATTGTCGGTGCCGCAGCAAATGCACTCGGCCTAAGCAAAAGGCGAATCATTCGTAGGGAGGGGGGCCTCGTCAGAAACCCTCACTCTTCGCCAAAGAAGAAACGAGGGGAAGCATGAGTTTTGAAGCAGCAGCATTCAACAGAATGAAGAAGAAAATAATGAAATGAAGAAGCGAGAATATTGGCATCTTTTAAATGCAGTCAATAGGAGTTGCCTATTGCCCTTACAAACGACAGTGAATGTAATTTGAAGCGTAGAACCTCGAACAGACGGCGTTGAAAAAGGCCTGGAAGACGCTCTACAGACAAGGCAACATCATCAGAAGTGGCGACAAGCATAGCCCTTAACTTATTCCATTAATATCAAGGCCAGCTAGCCTTTTCCAGATTCAGACAGCCGTTGGAAAATGTAGGATGAATACTTCGAAGAGCCGCTAAACCGGATCGCTCTAGCAGATGACTTAAAGATTGAGTTCGAAAAGAAGACGGTGTCGGATTGATTTCACCACGACAGTGTGGTG